TGTGTATGAAAATACATTGGAGAAAATATAGTAACCTTATTGTCTTCACATTAACATATATAAATAAATCCTCTAAACTAATTCATGTGTATATACCCATTAGATCCAGTTGACAGGGACATATCATTCAAATATTTGGCAAGGGTAGCTAATGCAAACTACTTGTCATGGTATATCTGGCTGAGTACCAGTGACAAGAGCATCTCGTCTCACAATACTGTTGCCAAGTCACTGGTGATGGGAACATTTCACCATGAGTGCACAAAGACTGACTTGGTGGGCATTTAGGAAGGGGCACTTGCATTATTTCCAACAGTAATCGAGAGTAGGGTGTATCATATGTAAGCCATGACAGGCTGTGACACATGTACCTATTCCTGCCTTGTTTAGGATTTCAACCTATTGCCGCTGGGGAAAATTTTTTAAAAATGGGGAAAATGCTCTGCCTATTTTCTATATTTTTTTGTGAAATGTCTGCCCATAGATGGCTCTGTTATTGCCTGATTTGAAATGGTGAGAAAAACGTATTTTTCACTAGTGCCATGAATATCAATGGTGTTATTTTTATTATAAACATTATAATTATTATAATGTTTTTTAACATTAGTAACGGCAAAATAAGATAATGTAAAATATTTCGTAAATCAAAGAAAAGGGTAAACGGGCAAGACAAGCAGTACTTGTAACTGGCTCATTGGTGATTTAGTACAAGTGTAGTCATCTATGTGTAAAAACAATCAAACAAGTAATCTCACAGTGGGCATGCCCGTCGCCAATGGGTTAACATAGAAAAATAATAAACAACATAATGTTACCTATTTGTTACTGTTATTGCACACTGTAAACTTCTCAGAGAGATCTCAGTTAGTATGCTCAACAAACACAATCTATTATTATATTAATAAAATATAACAAATTACAAATATAGACCTTGGAAAAAGTAAAACCATATCCACAGAAAATAAGCAAATAGCATTACAATGAGGCAGGGAGTCTAGATACCGCAGAGTTGCAACTCAAGTCAGCCTAATTCTGGGATTTTCATCAATGTACAAGCCACAAGGCACCAGGATCTAATGGGTTAAGTCCCATTCCATTAAATTAACCATTACACCTTCATTTCTATATTTTTCTTTTACATAAAATCTAAATATAAAGTTGGCATTTTTTTTAAACTAATGAAAGGTTACCAATATCTACATTAAACATTGTGACATCAGGACAAAGAATTTCTCATGTCAATATAACAGTGCTAGATGTCATTATGACAAATCCTATGATAATAAAAGCCATTAAGCTAAATGTCATTATGACAAATGCTCTCATAATAAATGCTAATGGTAAATGTCACTATGAGAAATATTATTATAGAAAATGCACCATATCTCCCTTACATTTCCTTCTCCATCATCTTGCAGATGAGCTGGGCAGAACGGGCCAGGGGAAGGTCCTGCTTGTTACAAACCACTAGAATCCTTGGCTGACCATTTTGAATGGTTTCATCACACAGTACACTGTAAAGGAATCTGAAAAAAATACAGTTTAGCTTTTACATTCTATACTCTGTTCACTCTCTTTTCTTTTCAAGAATTTCCCTTTAATTAAAAGGAATGAATAATTTGTGGACATTCTCTTAAGTCAACTTATCAAAACAACAAAAATAAACCTGTAATGAAATATGTATATCTGAAATTTCTCACACAAAAAAAATTCAAAGACTCTCTAACACCATAAATTTCATTGCTGAAAACACAAGTTCGGCCATAAACCCCAAATACTTACTCAGCTGCATCCCTGACATCTTTCTGGATAGTTGCTGAATCCACCAGGAAGACTATACCTCCAGTGACATTCTTGATTTTCTCAAAGGCAGCATAGCGTATGCGTTCGTGACCTGGTACGTCGTATATAGTCAAAGATTTCTGTGGGTTTGTGAGAGGAGAGATAAGTGCTAACAGATATTTTTGATGAAAATATCTAATTGATTAATAATGGAAGTAAATTTTTGGCTACCGCAATGGACAAATTCATCCCAATACATAAACATTATTCACATATATTTATCCAATCTTCCTCATTGAAATTAATAATGTTAATTCTATATTTATCATTTTGATCACTTTATGAAGTTAAGACATTCTACATTAACTTGAGTATTTAATTTTGTATTACTATAAACTGAAGTGTGAGTACATCTTAATTATTCTTTTGTTGATATCTTCATTATTCTTATTCATGCTATACACAGTACAATATAATCTCTTTACATTTACATGCCCTTGGCCTTTGTACCCACCTTGCCAACTTTGAATTCTGCATTAGAGGGCTTCATGGAAGTGACTGTGGTGACATCAGCCCCGTAGCAAATCCGTGAGAAGAGCTGCGTCTTGCCAGATTCACAAAGCCCCATCAGCAGCACTCCACGGCGCTTGCTGCCTGACCGGAAGAGTCGGAAGAGAATGTCTGCAAAAGAGGAAGGTAATAAATATCTGAGTTCTGCTTGAAAACTTACAAAAGAATAATATGTCATAATACATATTCAAAGAGATATCACATTACTCAAAAATATATCCCCCTGAAGTAACTGTACAGGTTGCTACTTCTATATGGGGTGATGTTAAATAATTATTACACCAATAGCTATTTCATAATTGCAAGTTTGAAACTGCCATCAAATTAATCACTCAAAACTAAGGCAATTTAATCAATGATAACATCTTCACTATCAAAGCCTTCATTAATGAAAGCCATAATCAGTCATGGAGGCAAAATGATTTTAAAACAAAATTTTCTTGGCTGTGTTAGAGCTCACATCTACTTAAACCTAGTGATCTATAAAAAAAAAGGCCTACAATTCTGGTGGGATACAGCTTTAACTAACTCTTTATTTGACTATAAATCCCCAGAGAGGTCTACAAGATTTATTTTGCCAGAATATATACCATGGATATGTGGATGTCTTCTAAAACTTTACCACCTCTAAAAACAGAAAACTTGGGAAGATCATGAGATCCTTCTAGCTCAACATACTAATTAGAGATGACCATCTATAAGCAGATGAAAATTTATCATGTGTGATCCAGTCGGAGCCAAAGTAATCAGTCATAACCTAATACCAAAAAACCTTTGAGGTAGTGAAATTTTTACAGAAAGAGATTAACAATTAACAATTAATCTGTAAAGGCAGCAATGACTAGCAATATCTGAGATATCATCAACAAAAAAAGCATGTCCTTCAAATTAGATGCAGTACATGATTCACTCTGCTTTCTTTGATCATGAAATTGAATTAACTTAAATACTTTTCAAGAAAGGAATTTCTATAGGATTTACCTCACTTCTTCACAAGCTATAAATGCTTTTATAATTTAGGTAATTGTTTTGAATACATCAACTTAATGGCTTACAGCAATGCATGGTAGGAGGCTGTGTCCCCTTCAGCCCCCATTAATGAGGGGGGCTGAAGGGGGGCTGCCATTCCCAACCACTCCCTAGAAGACAAATATCCTCTACATATTTATACTATGCAGGATTTAGCATAGGACTAACCACAAGGAGTAAATATTGGCCTGTGAAATCATGAGGCATAACATTTGATAAAATACTTTGACCCATGAGGATAACATAACTACTTTGGGGCCATTAGCAGAACCCATGAAATTCAGACTGGCAGCTTTATCAGACAAATCTTCCTCAGGATAGGATACTCTTACCCCCTTAGTCCTGTCCACTTAATAGAGTGTATTCCCCACAGTATATGAATATCATATACTTGACATTTCATACTATCTTTTCTCAAAGAACAGAATACTCATTTCTATTTCCTCCACCTCAAAATACATATTGAGCATATGATATATCAACATGTCCTAGTGACCTGCTGTTCTAGAGTTACAGTTGTGATATAATACAGGGGCTTTATCCCTGTGTTACAACTAAAGCACCAGGAAACACCGCTAGTATGTAACTCTAGAATGCAGGTAACTATGACATGTATTATATTCTCATTATATATTTTGATGGAAGCAAGAACAAAAAGAAACATAAAAACCTTGCAGAGTATATTATGTACATACAAATGTAGAGTGATATAACTACCAAAATAAGCTTAGTATTTGTTACCGAGAGTAATGCACCCTCCAGAGATAAAGTCTCGATAACAGGGTATCAAGCAAACTCAAAATCCAAACCTAACCATTACTTCTAGTTATTTCTTACACGGGGGGGGGGGAGGGAGGTCCCCTTGTACCTTCCCTTTATTAGCACTTCGTGCTGTGTGAGTGTGTTGTGGACTTAGTCTCTGAGCAGTGATGTGCAGACGATATTTTTGTCATTTCTCAGTAAATGTGAGGCCGCTGCAGATGTACCTGAATTGCTGCTAACTATAATTTTAATGTTCTATTAGACTGCAGTGTCTATTTCCCTCTATCTCTTTGCATTAATATCGGTAACAATAACCAATTATATTATCAGTAACGATGTTGGTAACATGAAACAGCTGTAACTCGTGTAATGTTACACTATTGAGTTTTTCAGTTTGCACCATTACAAACAGAAATACATAAATAAACAACTGATGAATTATAGCATCACAATAAATTAAAAAAACACACTTGACAGATTTACAAAAGCAAAAACATATGAAGGGCTCCATCCTTAAAATATAAGCTAACTGAGTACTTATAAATCATTACTGATATAAAAATAAAATCTATGATATACAGCTACCTAAACGAATAACGATAACTGCATAAGTAAGTTGAAAACAGAAGAGCAGATGACAACTTACACAGAGTGAGGAGACCGACCAAAACCGCCACCAATATTTTCATCTGGAACTCGTCTAATTTGGGCAAGTTGGCCATCATATCTCCGAGTTTTATGACTTTTTTGCCCTTTACACCCTCCGTAGCCATTGTTGTGGGTGTTTTGAACGTTACAAATATCAGAAACGAATGAGAGTGGTCTTCCTTCTTGCGATCAGCTGGCGAGTTCTGACTGTCCACTGTTTCCGGCTTGAATTGTGGATATAAACTTCATTAATAAATACAAACGATACGTATAGAGTTATATTTTATATTAAATTAAGAGTAAAAATAACAGTTATGAGTTTTTAGATATATATTATTCATTATTTTTTGCGCTATTTCATATAACTATATATATTATGCGAGAAGGATTTACTACAAAGTTTAAGGTTGTGAATTGTGACAACAAAACAAGAAACAAAAGAACATCGAAATGCAAGGGAAAACGAGCTACACACTTGCAACGCGTAGTTTTGTAAAATCTTCAATATCTACGGGATAATGAATGTCCACGTATGACAAAAAAAAACTGGATAATACGAATATGACATCTGATATGCCATATATTTTTTTTGTATGTGTGTGTGTGTGTGTGTGTGTGTGTGTGTGTGTGTGTGTGTGTGTGTGTGTGTGTGTGTGTGTGTGTGTGTGTGTGTGTGTGTGTGTGTGTGTGTGTGTGTGTGTATGTGTGTGTGTGTGTGTGTGTGTGTGTGTGTGTGTGTGTGTGTGTGTGTGTGTGTGTGTGTGTGTGTGTGTGTGTGCACAAACTCACACACACACCTACATATATATAAATATATATATATATATATATATATATATATATATATATATATACATATATATATATATATATATATATATATATATATATATATATATATATATAATATAATATATATATATATATATATATATATATATATATATATATATATATATATATGTGTGTGTGTGTGTGTGTGTGTGTGTGTGTGCACAATATATGTATATATACATATATGTATGTATGTATGTATGTATGTATATATGTATATATATATATATATATATATATATATATATATATATATATATATATATATATGTATATATATATATATATATATATATCAGGTATGTGGCGATATATGTATTACATTACAGCATAGCTTATATTATATATATATAGATAATATATAGGATAGATATAATATATTATTGTAGTAGAAGATATATATATATAGATACGTATAGAGATATATATAGTCTACATATATATATACATACTATAGATATATGTGTGCTGGGTGTGGCGTGGGTGGAGAACCAGAGAGAGTCGTATATATATATATATAGATAGTTAAGAGAGTATTATACTATTACGGAATAGAGTAGAGCACGCTATAGAGGATAGGACTATATATATACTATATATAGATGATGATATATACCATTAGATTATATATAATATATATATATATATATATATATCTATATATGTATATATATATATGTTGGGGTGGGCCGTGGGGTGTGGGTGGGGGTGTTGGGTGGGGGGATATATAGGTTGTGGATATAATAGAGGGTACGAGGATTATAGATATATCTAGTATATATAGATATAGATAGAAGGATGATCGTAACATATATCTATATTATTATATATATATGATAGATTATTATAATATATAATATATAGATATATATATTATATGCATACAGGCATGAGTTGAGAGAGAGACAGGAGATACATATGCATATATATATAGATATTATATCTATACGTAGTATATACTAAGAGTGATATATTTTTTTTGTATATATGGATATAGATGTTGCGGTGGCTACAATCGGGGTGTGTGGGTGTGGGGTGTGGCCCCCCCCGTGTGGTGTGTGTGGGTTGTTGTGGGTGGTGTTGGGGTGTGTGTGATGTGTGATGTGATGTGGATGCTGGTGTGTGGCTGATGGGTGCTGTATGGGTGTGTGCGCGTGTGCTTACAGTATATGTATATATAAATATCTGTCTGGTATGTCTGGTGTATTATATTTATGTATTATTATATATAGATATAATTGATATATATATTAGATATTAGGATAGATATAGTAGTACAGTATAGAGATATATACGTGATATAGAGGATATATATTATATAATATAGATACTATAGATATATATAGGAGTATATATACATGTCGTATGTGTGTATAAGTAGATAACTAACATAACAGATACATATATGTAGATTATATATATAGCTATAATATATATTTTTTAGTATGAGTATATACTATGATTAGTGATGTGGGGGGGGTGTGTGGGGGTGTGGGGGGGGGTGTGTGTTGGGGTGTGTGGGGCTGTGTGTGGGGGGGGGGTGGTGGATGGGTGGGCGTGTGGGGGGTGGGTTTTTGTAGGGGGGGGGGGGTGTGTTTGTGTTTGTCGTGTGTGTGTTGGGTGTGGTTGTGTGTGTGTGTGTGTTGTGTGTGTGTGGTTGTCGCACCCAAAAAGTACACACGATACCTACAGATAGATATAAAATATAATAGATATTATATTATATAGAGATATATATAGAGATAGAGAGATACGGATAGAATAGGAATTACTAGAGTAGGTAGTATATATATTATGTAGAGAGATAATATATATTATACGCATAGGATATAGAGAAAATATGTGTGGGTGTGTGTTGTAATGTGTGTTGTGGGTGGTGTGTGTGTGTGTGTGTGTGTGTGGGTTGTTATACTAGTATATATATATATAGATAGATATATATTTATATATAGGATAGAGAATATAGTAGACATATATATATATATATATATATAGTATATAATATAGTATATATAGACTATATATCACATAATATATAGTAATAATAATAATAATAATAAGACGGTTTATGATTTTCATGAGCCAGGGCTGAAAAAATATACAGGCAATATAGATAAAGAGACAGGACGTATATATGCATAGACACATAAAAACAACACACAAACAAGGTGAACTAACACAACTATAACGAACAAAAATATACACATAATAAAAGCTAAGTACACAAATTGCAGGTGGAAGGAGCGTGAACGGTAAAGGTAGCACTAGTGTTCGTTTGATGAGTCGGACGAGAGTGGGTACTGTGCTCCGGTGTATGCGGTCATGCGGCCCTGCATGGGCACCAATTTGGGGTTGCGGCGCGTAGGGCGCCGGCGGGCGGCGGTGATGCCGGGGGGCCAGCAGGTCACGGTGGCGTGGATGGCACAGCAATTTGGAGGCCAAACTTGCTGCAGTGGTGTGTAGTGAGTGGCGAGGGAGGCGAAGCCTAGGGCGGTCAGGCGCTGTCATAGCTGGTATACACAGGGCCGAGGATGAGTTTCTTGGCTGCCTTTTCTGCACCCTCTCGGAGTTGTAGCAGCTGGGTGGCGTGGGGAGGGGACCAGCGGGGGAGGCGATAGGTCAATTTAGGGAGGATAAATAGCCTGTATTTTCTGAAGCTCCGGGAGTGGAAATCGCCAATAGTGGGTGTGTGTGTGTATGTGTTTGTGTCGGTGTGTGTATAATATATACTATATATATATATATTATATATATATATATCTATATAGATATATATATATACTGATATATATGCATGAGTGAGAGCAGACAGAGTATGAGAGATACATATGCATATATATATATATATAATATATGAATATATATAGATATATAAGATATATATATATATATAGTGTGGTGTGTGTTGTTGTGTGGGGTGGTGTGTGTGTGTGGTGTGTGTGTGTGTGTGGTGTGTGTAGTTAGTGGCGCGTTATAAGTATAGGTAAATACATATCTGTATGTATGTATTTGTATATATAGGGTATATTATGATATTAAAATATATATATATATATATATATATATATATATATATATAGTATATACATGTGTATGTGTGTTATATATGGATATACATACATACATTACACATATGTATATATATATTTATTTTTTTATATATATATAGTAATATATATTATATATTTATATATATGTGGTGTGGGTGTGTGTGTGGTGGTGTGTGTGTGTGTGTGTGTGGTGGTGTGTGTGTACGTGTGTGTGGTGTGTGTGTGTGTGCGTGTGTGTGTGTGTGTGGTGTGTGTGTGTGTGTGTGTGTGGTGGTGTGTGTTGTGTGTTGGGTATGTCGTGGTGTGTGTGTGTGTTGTGTGTGTGTATATATATATACTATATATATAATATATATCTATATAATATGATATATATATATATATATATGGTATGGATATATACCAATATACATGCTTTAAAACTATAAATAAGATCAAACAGCCAAGAAGTGAACCGGGTTTGCGGTTCAGATTTTGAATTTCCTTTTACAGATAAAAAAAAGAAATCTTGGTTTCCTGTTTTTCATTTTACCTCATGTAACAGTTGTTTCATCGAACCCAAGAAAGGAGGCTGAGACGTGCAGGCGTTGGTCCGCACAGCGGCCAGCCCTCACGCGAAGGAAGGTTGAGTGGCGGGGCAAAAGTGTAAGCCGAGACCATACTTAGACAATTACGAATAGATTACCAAACCATTTGAAGTACAGTCCAGCACAACGCAAAAGGTAGAGCCCAGTGTTTAATCGGTTTGTATAGATAAATCTTCCCGGGATTTTAGCTTCTAATTTTTCAGTAAAACCACCATTAAAATATCTTCTCATGCCTAATGCGAACACTTTTTATCATCTTTATAAATATATTATACCTTTTCGGGGGATTAAATGTTCTATAAACGAAACCGAAAGGGCAAGGACGTTAATATTGGGGATGTTTTCTCCTCCGCGACGAGAAGAGGTACATCTGCGTGAGATATTCGCTTTCCCGTCTCTGCAGTTGACTAAGAAAATATTCAAAAGCTGCCAGGTTAACGTGAAGTCCCTTCCCCTGTACATGAAGGAGTTCAGCTTACGTCTTGTGAGAAAAGTAATATGAGAGGTAATGTATATGTTTGCACACAGTGGTCTTAGTTTGTTTATTCATTAATTAATTTAGTGTATATATATGTATATATATGCCTACATACATTACAGGTATCTAACACAATACACATGTATTTGAACTCCTGCAGTGTATATATATATATATATATATATATATTATCGAGAGAGATAAGAAGAGCGAGAATATAGATAGAGAGAGAATATATACATAAGAGATGACGCAGGGGT